TTGAGGAACTCTGAAGGAAAAACATAAGCTAGTGAAAAATGAAAAGCCCAGTTAAAGGAAGTGTTTAGCTGTGAGCCCTATGAAGGTGGGGTCTACAGCTAATTCAGTGCCTGTGCTCCCCATGCTAACTAATGGCACCACCACCGCACTTAATGTTTCCTTGAGCTAAGATTCCCTTTGTAAAATATGATGAAAACTAAGTACCCTACTTCAGGCTAAGAGCAGACACTTAGGAAATGTTCATGAGATTAAGTTACATTCTATACATAGTGTTATATTTGTTTTTCCTTCAGTTCAATAGCTTGACTATAGTTCTTAACTTTGGCAGACAATTATAGACCCTTTGCTAGACAAACAAACTCAGTGTTTCCTGTTTGGTGGGGAGAGGGGGAGACCTATTGCACCTAACTTCCCGTCCTTCCAATGTTTTATTGAAATAATAGAAAAGATGTTAAAAATAAAAATGAAATCATAACAGTGCTAGAGAGAGTGACATCAGTGGGTGAGATATTTTGAGAAATTCTTCAATGATGAGCAGATGTGAGGAAACCAATGAAGAAGTTAAAATAGGGAAATTGCAGGCACACCCGTGAGAGAGGAACATGGTTCGTCCTGGGGGAGCCACAGGGAAGGCTGGAGCCTGGCTCATCCCACAGAGCGTCGGGGAACCGGGGTGGGGGGTGGGGGGGTACTTGTCAGGGTCGGTGACGAACGCATTCCCTGTCAGCGGCTCATCCCACTTCTTCCTGTGGATAGACAGAGTGGCTGGTTCCCAGGCACAATCTGGTGGTGTGCTCTCTGTGAAAAGAGGATGCTCTTTTGGGGGCAGAGCTCCTGCTGTGTGTGCCCTGGAGAAGCAAAGCAGGTGGTAATTCAGGATTTACCTCACAGACATGAAGGAGAAACATTTTAAAGTTAAGGTCATTCCACTCAGGAAATGTATACACAGAAACACTCCAGCCAAGAGTCAAGTCCCTTCCCTTTTTGACATATACCTGCTGACGTACCACTGCCTGCGCACAAACACTCCTGGGTACCTGATGCCATAACCCCACCCTCATCAGCCCGTCCCATTCTGGTGAGAGCACTTACTTCCAGTAATGGTTTTGTCCCTCCTTACCTATAGACTAACTTCCACAGGTAACAGCTATAAACTCTGGCAAAATACAATGTAAAGATACTTGAAAGCAATCAAAAGCAGGCAGACACTGGAGGAAAATCAGCAGTTGGAAAAAGAGAGAATTTTTAATGGCTCTTAGCCTGTTTCTTTAGGGTTCAAGTTTGTGCCACGCAGGGGCAGACAGTGGGGAATAGAATAGCTAAAGGCAGGGGGGCAAAATCCATAGTCTTAGTGGTGTGAAATATCAGAGGACAGAATTTGAAGGCATCCACAGCCTCTAAAGGAGGGAAGAAAATCCCCCAAAATTGAAAGCCAGAGAGGAAAACTACACAAACTCTGCAGCTGCCCCCTACGACGTGAACTAGCCACACACAGGGAAGGCTCCAAGCAGCCTGATTTAGGCTAAAAGAACTGAGCTGAGATTTGAGCTGCTGTCCTTTGCAGGGGAGATGGTTTGCAGTTTGAGTTCAGCCAATTTAACTGACTGCTTAAAAACAAAACCCAAACATTTCTAGGGACAAAATAAAATCCAAAGTCTCTACAATATCTCATTTACAATATCTAAGACACAATTCAAAATTACTCTATATACAAAGAAACAGGAAACCATAACCCCTACTTAGGAGAAAAGACACAGTCCTAAGATGACCAAGATGCTACAATTAGCAAAAGAGAAGTTTAAGGCAATTGTTCAAGAAGATGTTTCTTGGGGAAACAGACACGCAGGGCTGGCCAGGAAACTGACATTGACCATTCCTGCTAATCCCCAAGGATTTTCCTTTGTGGGTAATGATTCATAGGAATTTGAAAAAACCCCAGGGCATGAAGAAAAAAGGTTCAAGATTAATTAATTCAAACAGCTGAGTCTGGAGAAAACAGAGATAATTTCGGGAGCACAGGAGAACTTGAAAAACTTCTAAGTAGTGTCCTCAAAGATACTCAAGGATGGATTGAATTCATAAAATAACAAGAGGCCACTGTGAAAAAGGAACAATCAATAAACAGGAAAGAATTCTTGTAAATAAAAAAAGTAATGAATTTGCTGAAGACCAAGATGGTGTTCTAGAAAATGATATTTCTTAGAATATAGAGAAATAAGATAAAAAGATGGAAAATATGAGGACTCCCCCTCCCCCAGGCTTGGAGGATAGAAGTAGGAAATTCAGGTTCCAGAATGCAATTTTCTTGAGTCAAAAACACATGTAAACCATACAGGATTAGACAGAAAACAAATGCCCATGCCTAAATATATTCTAGTAAAATTTAGAACTTCCAGGATAAAAAGAATGCCTGAAAAGATTCAGCAATATGTACATGCATACATAAATTAAAGCAAACCACAGCCGATCACTTACATCGAAATGAGAATCAGACTGATACCAGATTTTCACCAGCGATCCTGTATGCTAGAAGACAACAGAATACTGCATGCAAATTCTGGAGGAAGATGACTTTCAACCTGAAAACTTTTATATCTAGACAATGGATAGGTAAGAGGGCCAAATATAGACATATTTAGGCATGAGAGAATCAGAAAGCTTAAATGCTCATGTACCCTTTAAAAATTCCTTCGATAAAATGGAAAAAAAAAGAGATAGAGGACAGCATGGGTTATAAGAGTTGTAACGACATGAAATTTCAGAAAAGTATAAATATAGTTCATAAAATTCATACTGGTCTCTACAGGCACAAACACCAGATACTGTGACAGCATTGCCTCTTGTGATTAGAAGTGGCCAGGAAGATTTTTTACTTTGTATTTATTCTCTTCTGCATTATCTGCATTTATTTTTGTTTTTAATATAATTACTTATAATAAAAAATTAATATACTTTTTAAAAGACACTCTCTAAATCTAGCAGTACTTAATTTTTAAGCATGTTGTCAATTACTTCTTTTTTTAAGTATATTTTATTGATTATGATACCACAGTTGTCCCATTTTGTTCTCCCCTTTATCCACCTCCACCCTGTACTCCTCCCTCTAGCATTCCCCTCCTTAGTTCACATCCATGGATCGTACATGTAAGTTCTTTTGCTTCTCCATTTCCCATATGGTTCTTAACCTCCCCCTGTCTATTTTATGCCTACCAATGATGCTTTTTATTCCCTATACCTTTCCCTCAATTCTCCCCTTCCTCCTCCCTGCTGATAACCCTCCATGTGATCTCCATTTCTGTGATTCTATTCCTATTCTAGTTGTTTGCTTAGTTTGCTTTTGTTTTCAATTCATTTGTTGATAGTTGTGAGTTTGTTGTCATTTTACTGTTCATAGTTTTGAATTTCTTTTTCTTAAGTAAGTCCCTTTAACATTTCATAGAATAAGGGTTCAGTGATGATGAATTCCTTTAACTTGACCTTATCTGGGAAGCACTTTATCTGCCCTTCTATCATAAATGATAGCTTTGCTGGATAATGTAATCTTGGATGTAGGTCCTTGCCTTTCATGACTTTGAATACTTCTTTCCAGCCCTTTCTTGCTTGTAAGGTTTCTTTTGAGAAATCAACTGACAGTCTTATGGGAACTCCTTTGCAGGTAACTCTCTCCTTCTCCCTTGCTGCTTCTAAGATTCCCTTCTCGTCTTTAATCTTGGGTAATGTAATTATGATGTGCCTTGGTGTGTTCCTCCTTGGGTCCAACTTCTTTGGGACTCTCTGAGCTTCCTGGATTTGCATGTCTATTTCACCAGATTGGGGAAGTTTTCCTTCATTATTTTTTCAAATAAGTTTTCAATTTCTTGCTCTTCCTCTTCTCCTTCTGGCACCTCTATCATTCAGCTGTTGGGACATTTAAAGTTGTCTAAGAGTCTCCTATGCCTCAACTCATTTTTAAAAATTCGTGTTTCTTCATTCTGTTCTGGTTGAATGTTTCTTTCTTCTGTTCCAAATTATTGATTTGAATCCCAGTTTCTTTCCCTTCACTGTTAGTTCCCTGTATATTTTTCTTCATTTCACTTTGTATAGCCTTCACTTCTTCCTTTATTTTATGTCTGAACTCAATCATTTCTGTGAGCATTCTGATCACCAGTGTTTTGAACTCTGCATCTGATAAGTTGGCCATCTCCTCCGTGCTTAGTTCTTTTTCTGGAGTTTTAATCTGTTCTTTAATTGGGGCCATGCTTCTTTGTGTTGGTGCGCTTGTTACATTGTAAGAGGTGGAGCCTTAGGTATTCGCCAGGGTAGGGCAACCCACTTCTTGGAGCTATTGTGCTGTCTTTGGGGGAGGGGTCCAAGAGGGAACAATGTTGCTTGCTCAGCTCTGGCCCCACTTTCAGTCACTTCCTCCACTACCCACAAGCCAATTCGGCTCTTCTGGTGCTGAGTCCCAGGTGGGTGGGTTTGTGTAAATTCTAGGACCCTGTGGGTCCCTCTAGCAGATTCTCCCATGAGACTGGGAGTTTCTCCCATTGCCACAATCTTCACAGGTTTTTACAGCCAGGGATTTTGAGACTTTATTTCCCTGCACAGGAACCCTGGGTTACGCAGTCTGTCTCACTCCCCAGTTATTCCGCCTGGTTTATCTGCACAGGAATGTGGAACCATCTGGTCTGCCAGCTGCCACCTTGTCATGTGTCCTCTCTGCCCCAGCTGTCTGTCTCCACCCCTCCTACCAGTCTGGATGAATGTTTCTTCTTTAACTCCTTGGTTGTTGGACTTCCAGCTTGATTTTCTGGCAGTTGTAGTTGTTTTTTTTTGCTTTTAAATGGGTTGTTATCCTTCTTCTGGTTGTGCAAGGAAGAAAAGCATATCTACCTACACCTCCATCTTGGCCAGAAGTTCAATTTTTTTCTTAAAACATTTAATAAGAAGAGGAACTTGTCCATTTAGTTAAGGGTAGTTAAAGAAAAAGTACAGGTTCCTACTTAAGGCAAGTTTAAAAATAAAACATTTCAGAAAAATCCTTTATTGATTCAACACACATGCAAAAATAGTAAGATATAGATATAAAAATACAACTTTTATGTTTTCACAATAATCTGAAAGTGGATTTTACAGATTATAACAAAGCATGCATTCTCATTGCTTCAGAATGGTCCCTAGTGGTGATGTCCAATACAGTAGCCACTATATGGCTGTTGAGACTTGGCATGTGCCTGGTCCAAACTGAGATGTGCCGTGAGGGTGAAATCCACATGAGATTTCAAATGCTTGGGGTAAAAATCTGTAAAATATCTCATTGATAATTTTAAAATATTGACTCTATGTTGAAGTGATATCTGAGGTATACTGGTTAAATAAATGCTGTTAGAACATTTGAAATCCCATATGTGGCTCTCACGTGTGGCTTGCAGTGTATTTTTGTTAGCCCTGGTCTGCAGCACCCAAATACCCCTTATTGTATATGCATGCTCTTATTGTTCACAGGGGGTTTCTACAAAGAGAGTTTCAAAAGAGAAACTGACACTTCAACTTTCACTTACCAAGAAACGCCCCTGGTTATGAAGCGAGAATCAATGTCAACGACATCAGAATAAGACAGAAAACAGGAAGTTGGGAGAATAGGGAACACGATTAGAAGAAATGCCAGTTCTTACATAAAAAAGTTTTGTTGGTTGAATGACGTCCAGTAAAATATTTTCCTCTAATGCATGCACTCTTCTAATCCCACCCATTATTCCTTGTGTAATCAAGGAATGTACTCAAGTAATCATGTTCTCTCAACATTTTCTTTATGCAATGCCATTCTAGCTAGAAATATTCCACCTACAGATCTTCCTCAGAACTTTCCTACACATACATGGCTGATGTTTTTTATGGTAGGGAATGTCCCTACATTGGTATAGTAATTATTGCAATATTGTAATTGTGTTCATTCTATAGTGGTTCAAATGTGGGGGGGTGTACCTTGGGGCAGAGCTTATTTCTGCCCTAGCAATTGTCTTGCAAACAGTATTTATCTTTGTGTCAAATGGACCTGTCTTTCCTGACCCATCTGAAAAAGTCACTTTATCAGTTTCCTATTGCAGTTGGATGATTAACTTACTTCCTGAGAAATATCACACTACATTTGTGCTCTTGGCTTTATCACTGTAGACCATTTGTCACTCTGAATTTTCATTTGTCCTGTGTGAATACGGCCATGAAGTATGAAAAACAATAACCGTCCGTAGTTCTGTGGAAGGTAAAAGAAACAGCTAAGTTGGGAGTGGAGAGAGAGCTTTCTCTACAGTAATCAAAGATGGTGGAAGGAAGTGAAATGGGGGATGTTAAAAAAAGATCTCTCAGAACCAGTAGAAAGTAGAAGTCTTTTTAGCCACTTACAGTAAGAAAAATATATGAGGAAAAGGTAATGAAAGCTTTTACTTTTACATTCTATCAATTCTGTATAAGATAGTTGTTGGGACCAAATACCTTAATAATCACATTAGGGATGGATAATTTGGCATCTAGGCCAGTGACTAGCAAACAGTAGGTCTTCCATAGATGTTTGTTGAATGAGGGAGAAAATCCATGTCTTATGTTTCTGTTCAGACTTCTGTTTTAAAGTGTCATCACTCATTAGCATGAGATATTGTGGCTTCCTTACTGACATAGCTAGCTAATTTATGCAGACAGAAATTTGTCCTTTGTTCTTGCTGCTATAGATGTTTTTCCCTTTCCCAAGCTGAGAACGTAGCCAAATCTTGCCTTTCTTTGCCCGTGTGCCTCTTGTGTTCCAGGAGAAAGCAGCAGTCACCAGGCAAGAGAAGGCAACTCCTCAGGCTTTTGATTGCAATAGCCTCAGCTCAGTGAGACTATGTAGAAAGTGAGGATGATAGAGGTAAGTGCTTGGAGTTTAAATGGGGGAAGCCATGGAATCCCAGGGGAGAGGAAGATTTCTGAGACTAAGAGATGGGGTAGGGCTCTGGGAGGCAGGGTTTTGTGCTGGTCAAAAATGCCAGCACTGCCTGTGGGTGTCACCTCAGTAGGGGACTGGACAATGCCATGCTGGTGAACTCCAATTGTGTGGCCTTGGGACCCAGGGCACCGATGTCCTCTGCCTACCTTCAGGACACCACATGATAATAGAAAGTGAACTGGTTGGAGACCAGTGTGGACAGCGGCCTAGTGAACCCGTGTCTCACTCTTTCCACCAGGTATATTCTGGGGCCTTTAGATGAACCTGAGAAGGTGAAGAACACTACCAATGAAGGAGATTAAATTTCTCACCTAATTGCATGGTCGGAAACTCAACAAGGAATAAAACAGTTAAAAGTAAATTTCAGGCTCACTACAATGGTACCATTCAAGAAAGTGCTTGCTTGGGCAATGACCTACCCAGAGCACAAAATGAGAAGACAAAGTGTTCACAGAGCCTGAGAACTAGAGGTGACTTCTACGTTCATCCAATCAGGACTCTTCACTTCTGGATTATGAAATCAAGGTTTAGGATTTTAAAAACTTGTTCCTACTTGGCGTAGAGCTGAGGCACTTGGTCTTCATCCTTAGTCTACTTTTCTATCTACCTCACCACTTGAGAAATTCGGATCTCTCTGTAGCAATTAAAATGCATTATCATTTCATCATGGCCATGAATAGCCCTTATCAAAGTAAAAATATCTTAAATTTAAAATGAAATAAGGAAATTCGAACTTTAAACACATCCAGCTCTGATAGTGGATGTTAAAAAAAAAAACCCTTTGGGTACATAGATTTCCTAATTATTCCCCATCATAGAAATTGTGGAGAAATGACCTGAGCTACAACTAAAGTAGTTGATATTATGGCTTCTGAGAATTAAAAAGTCTCTTTCTAAGGCATTTTCAAATACAGATATGTATGTTATGTATTGGCTATCAAACACCTGGTAGAAGCTTCTTTTCCGGAGTGTATGTTTGTATTAAACCTACTTAATGGCTGAAAAAAACAGATTTATTAACCTTCTAATGGGATCTTATTTCTTAAGAATCCCCCTACTAATTCTACGTCTAGTCTAATTTCCCCCCATTATCCAGTCTTCTTTGATCTATGTCTTGGCCACACCCCGTAACCTTTGGTTCTTTGCAGGGAAAAGGCAGATTGAAATGTGTCCTCTCATTTCTGTCTGGACACCTGTGCTAGAGAACACAGCTGTCCTTCGCGCAGAGCGTCTTTCCAGCCCAGTGAGAAGCCTGCACCGTGATGAGGAGACCTAACTAAGCAACCTGGGTGTTCACTGGTCAGTCAGCCCAGCGGCTGTCCTCGGGTCACTGTGAGTGTCCGCTCTCGGCAGACTTGAAAGGAAGAGTGTGGGTAGGGTGGTGCCCACACAGCGAAACTGTCCTTTGAGTGCTGCGTCCCTGAGAGGGGTTGCTCCACGGGAGGCTGGCCTGGCGCGTCCGCCCTTCTTCGGCTGTCTGTTCAGAGGTTCCCGTAGTAGTCTCTCCGCCAGCAGGTCCCCGAGCGAATGAGCGTAAACAGCAGCACCGCCAGGATACCAGACACCAGGAAAAAGGCGATGGCCAGGGCGATCCTGAGAACTGTGGGAAAATAGGAGGAGCATTAACACGTAAAATTAGTGGATTAGAAAAATAGGAAGGTCACCAATCAGTGCTGGTTTCTGCCTTCCATGTAAATGTCAGTGGCGTTTCTGAAGCAGTCTTGAAATCAGCATGGCGTGGTGAAAAGAGCGCTGGCCTAGGGGTCAGGAGATGACCTAGGTCCCGGTTCCTGGGTGACCTTTGACCTCGGGCCTCCACTCCCCCACTGTAAAGGAAGGGCAACTGGCTAAAGTGTTTCCAAAATCTTCCTCCAGGATTAACTTCATGTATTTTTCTATGAATAAAATTATCGGTTGTTTTACACTTTAAGTTAATAGTTGTTCGTGGTCTCATGGTCAAAGGGATTTCTGAATAGTCAAGTGCGCGATCACTAATTGATTATAAAGGAATGGAATATCAGCTTTTGGTCTTTGACTTTTGGTAAATATCTTTTAAAGAGGAAACTTTGAGCATACATTAACTATACGAGCATTTTTTAGGACAATTGTGTACTATTGCTAATCTGTACCTTTATTTACACATATCCCTTTGCTGACCAGTCAGGGTACAGACATGGGGGGTCATTTTAAATGAGATGCTATTCATTATTTCACCTGGAAAGTTACCCCCTCACACACACACACACACACACACCCTCATCTACTGTAGTATGTGCATCGTAAATGTCAGTTTGTACCATCTGTAAATGTGTGTCTGATTTTCATTGTAAAAATATGTGAGTATTTGTTGGCATAAGCACCGGGAGGGCAAACATCTCTCTGGCCCTAGCAGCTCTGTCTGCAGAACCCTACTGCTCCGTGGAGCACAGCTGAAAATCTCTTATTTAGCCTAACTTATCACTGTAGAGATGATAAAAATGGGATGTGTAGAGATGAGATACTTTGGCTAAGGTGAAGCAGGTAATTGAATTGGGGTTGGAATACACAGGATCTTACCAGTTGTATAATTTTAAAAGCCATCTATTCACTAATGACTTCAAATTTAAATTTTTCCCTGATTCAGGACTCATGTATCCAACTGTGTCCTTGTCTTATTCCCTTGAACATCTAATAGACATTCCCAAACTGAACTCCCAACTCCTGTGCACCTCTGCCCTCTTCACCCCACCAAATCTGTTCCCCCAGCAGCCTCCCTACTTCAGGTGACGGAAACTTCCTTCTTCCAGTGTCTCAGTCCCAAACCCCTGCAGTCTCCCTCGACTCCTCTCTTTCTCTCACATCCTACACCCAGGCGGTCAGGAAATCCTGTAGGTTCTGTCAGAAACTGTATCTGGAAACCAGTGCTTTCTCCTCTTCTCTGCCACGCCCCTGCTTTGAACCACCATTGTCTTTTGCCAGGGTTACTACAATGCCCTGCTGCCTTGCTCCCTAGCTTCTCTCCTTTCTTTCCCATAGTCGGCCTATTTTTAACACAGCAGCCAAGTGACTTCCAGGCAAATCACGGCACTCCTCCACTTAAAGTGTGCTCATCTCCCTTGGAATGAAAGTCTGATTTTTGATGACAACAGTTTATGAGACTCTTTGTTACTTGACTTTATTAACCTCTTGGATTTCCTCTGCTACCCCTCTCCTTTCATTCATTTTTTTTAGGCCACACAGGCCTTCTTGTTGATCCTCAATCCTGCCAGGCACACTCCCCTTTACCACCTTTGTTGTTACCATGGTCTGGATGCTCTTCTCACGTATCTCTGAGTCAGGCAACTGCATCGCCTGCTTTACCCAGATCTCATCTTCTCATGAAGGGCTTTCACTTAAAGGTACAACCTATATGCGCCCCCCCACCCCCATTTCCAACCTGGTGCTTGTGGTCTTCACCTTGTAAAGTACTTATTTATAATGTCCATTATTTATTATCCATCCTTCTCTCTCTCTGATAGAATGTAAGCTTCATGAGGGCAGGAATGTTGTCTTTTTGTTCATGATTGTATCCCAAGCACTTAGAACAGCACCTGCACCATAGCAGGTGCTCAGTAAATATTTGTGGAATGAACTAATCATCTACAACACCTGGGTTCCCAACTGTTAATCCAGTGCTTTTCTCATGATGTCAGGATGCCTCTTAGCATCATGAGAAGGTGAATATTAATAAAATTATATCCTGGTGGCTGGGTGCCATTAGTAATGAGGATGGAGTTAATGCAAAGTTGGAGGAGACTAGATAGAACTGAGGAAGGGGGAAAAGGACTATATGGAAATGAGGGAGGAAGGCAGAGACTAACAGAATATTCATGACTGACTTTCTGTATTTGGAGATTATTTTCAATTATTTGGGGGGGTGCTATGTTGTCATGGTGGTTCCATGGATTCCCTCTCTCTTTCCTTCATGCCTTCCTAGGCATGCAGTGGGCACACACCATGTGCCAGGCCAGCTGTGCGATAGGTTCTGGGGTTCCATGATCCCTGCTCTTGAGGAGATTCAACACCTCGTGGAAGACTCAGATAGATGCTTATGAGATAGTGTGAGGAATAGTAAAACAGGGATGTGAAAAATATGCCATTGGAATGAAGAGGACATTGCAATCAATGCAAAGTATTCTCTTTGGAAGAGAAAGAGTTTGGAAAGTCTTCTGAAAAAATGGTAAAGCTTGAGCTGGCCTGTGAGCCAAGTTAGATTTTGCCAGGAGACAGAACGAGCAGCACAGGAGCAGGTTTAGAAAGCAACGAGCCGTTGCGCATGACTGGAGTAGAGGTTATGGGGAGGTGAGACTAGAGATGTAGGTTGAGGTCCAGGTTTTAGAAGTTGTGGTTTGCCAGGGGGACAATGGAAATCATCAACAATTATTACACATGGATGTGACATGACCCAATTTGTGTTAAAAAAGAAACAAAAATGAACAAACCCAAAATTGTGGGGAAAGATGGGATGTTGGAGACACCGTATCCGGGACTGAGAGCTGTTAAAATGCCTTTGACAAGACACTGAGCTATGGCCCTGAGAATGCGGATGAGGGAATTCAAGAAACACCTCTGACGTCGGATTGACAGGCTTTGTGATGAGCTAAATATACTGGTAAAGAAGTTGTGGTGGGGGTCACCCTGTGGATTCCACCTTTTGTGAATGAGAAGACTAGGCTGTGGATTGAGATGAGAAGCACGTTAAAAAGGATCAGTTTGGAGTAGAGGAGATAAACGTTGCTTCACATGCAGGATTGCAATAGGTAATTGCCCTGGTAGAGATGACCAGTAGGCAGCTGGAGAAAACAGGCTTAGATTTCCACATGCAGATGTGGAAATAAGGACTCTAGATGTAGGAGATGGGGGCCTGGGGAGTACTGGCTCACGCTGAGTGTGGAACGAGAGAAACGAGGCATGTGACCATGTAGGAGGTTGGTAGAAGGTGCTACTCCAAGAGAAACTAAACAAGGAGTCTGGGAGCAAAGAGAAGACTTAAGAGGTTCTCTCTCTCTCTCTCGTTCATTTTTAGAATTATATGTTCCCTATACTGCAAAGGATTTGGGAGTTTGACTATGTTCTAGAATCTTGAAAAGAGAACGTGGTTAACTGTATCTTCCTGCAAAGAGGTCTAGTGCAGGTAGTGACTGAGAAGATGCCCTTCAACAAGGGGACACATGAAGGCTGCTCAGGGCATGTGAATCGGGAATACTTTTTGAAAACAATTTTAGCAATATATATCAAGAGCCTCTTCTTCTTGCCATTAATCCCCAAGTTCCATGTGCTAGATCTATTCCCCACTTTGAGTACGTCTGCTTTTCTCCTTCAGCCACCTTGGATTATTGCAACAGCCTCCCAAGTGTTCTCTCTGCCCCCAATCCCACCCCTCTCCTATCTGGTCTCCTTTCTGATGCCAAAGAGGCCTTTCAAAAAGCAAGAAGCCAGTCACATCCTCTATCTTCTGCCTGAAATCTGTAATATAATTGGAGTTGCTCAACTATGAGTCACTTAATGCCTGCCTCTCCAGCCTCTTGGTGTTCTCACCAGATACACTTCTTCCATTTTCTAAAATGCCCATGATTTCAGCCTCGTGGCTTTTTACACACATTCTCTCTTTTGTCTGTAACATTCTCCTCTCTCGTCTTCATTCACCTGGCTAATTCTGTCTTTCCTTTAGTTTTTGGTTTGAACATTCCCCCTCTGAGAAGCCTTCTCGGGCCCCTTAGACCTGGGCTCATTGCCTCTGTATGTCCTTTATTACAGTACTCACTACAGACGACAGGGAGGGCTTGTTTAATTCCGTCTTCTGCTCCTTCTTCCCTGCTTCCCACTTCCCTGCCAGTCCACAAGCTTGTCTTGCGGCTGTTTCCTCTGCAAACTTATTGCCTGCTACATACATACATACTGAGTACATAATAGGTAGTCAGTGTAGATCTGCTGCTTGTTAAATATTCATATTCTCAGACCCACCAATCCTATTTTGGGGAATTTGTCCTCAGGAAATGGTCCACCAGACAGTGTGGGATGGAAAAGGGCTGTGAAATAGTGGAAATGTGGTGTTGGAAAGAGATAGGCTCGAACCCTGACCCTACCACCTGTGGCATGTGACTTTCTGAGGTTCAGTACTCTTCTCTGCAGAGTGGGGGGATGTGATGTGGACGGGGAAAGGAAAAGAGCCGCTGGATTAGGCGGCAATGGCTTGCAAAAAGGAAGTTTCGAAAACATGAAGGAAGGATGAACGCCATTCCACAGAAGAGTTCAGGAGTGAGAGGGATATGAGAAGACAGAGGCAGGGCATGTAAATCCTTAGAGTGAGAATGTTGGGACTGCAGAGGGTGACAGGGAGCAGGCACCAGAGGGCACTCTCTGGTGAGGGAAGATTTGGGCACTTTCGTCGTAGGAGGGAGGGAGCCTCCTCCTGTGGAACGGAATGCACCTGACAGACTCACTGAGGCCCAGGGAGACCGAAGGGGCTGGGACCACGTGCACAAGGAAAGGAGTTACGTTGCTGGGGAGGAATGCGTTTCCCTGACAGACGGCAGGAAAGGGGCAGGAAAGGCAGGTTAACGCCACTGCCACCGAGATGCT